CATCATCATCCAGACACAGGCCCAGTACTATTACCATCATCATCCACCCACAGGCCCAGTACTATTACCATCATCATCCACACACAGGCCCAGTACTATCACCATCATCATCCACACACAGGCCCAGTACTATCACCATCGTCATCCACACACAGGCCCAGTACCATCATCATCCAAAAACAGGCCCAGCACTATCACCATCATCATCCACACACAGGCCCAGTACTACTTCCTTAAAATAACCAAAATACCTTGTTTTATTTGAAGAGTTAGAATAGATCACAGAACTCTCTCTACATTCCTCTCTGCCTCCCTCTATCTCTATGCTCTTTCTGCCTCGCTGTCTCTTTCTCTGCTATTCCTCTGTCTCCCCGCTCTGCCTTCAACCCTCCTCTCTCTTTTACATACCTCTCCTTTTCTCTCTCTATTCTCCTTCTCCCTCTCCTCTCTCTATTCTCCTTCTCTCCCTCTCCTCTCTCTATGCTCCTTCTCTCCCCCTCTTCTCTCTCTATTCTCCTTATCTCCCCTCTTCTCTCTCTATTCTCCTTCTCTCCCTCTCCTCTCTCTATTCTCCTTCTCTCCCCTCTCCTCTCTCTATTCTCCTTATCTCCCCTCTCCTCTCTCTATTCTCCTTCTCTCCCTCTCCTCTCTCTATTCTCCTTCTCTCTCCTTATCTCTCCTCTCCTCTTTACAATAATCTATAACAACCAATCAGAATTCACTTTCCTGAGCTCAGACTGGTGAAGAATGACATCTGATTTCTGCAGCTTACTGCAGTTTGCACATCATTGTTGCTGTGTCCGTGTGCACCTTCCCTCACTAGCATTGGCTACAGACATTGGTCAAGATTTGGGATGTCCTTTAAGGTGCTGCATAGGGACCTCCCTGGCTCCGCCCACCAGAAGCCTCCTTCTTTGGCAGGGACAGGACGCTCTCCGGCTGGTGCTGACCACCTACAACCCATTCACAATGAAAGCATGCACAGAGCGCGCAGCCTTCAATGTGAATATGAGACAGGCGGCACCAACATGAACAGCACCCTATATTCAGCAGGCCTTTTACAGTGCTCGTGGTCAGGCCGGAGAGGTCTATTTTGGGGGTCTGCCATGTAATTTCTATGGCCAGCCTAACCTTGCTGCTGCACAGTGGTGACACTCGGCCCTCCGACACGTCGGCAGACAGAACAGTTTCATCAGCTCGGCTTCCAATGGAAAATCCAGTTACCAGACAATTGCTTCACTTCAATGGAGTTCCTTCCCGAGGTCCAGACAGATATTGAATTCCTGTAACTTCAAACTGATACCGTTGCTTTACTTCTAAAGGGAACCTGTCACATCTGCGGCCCGAGGACAAAGAAACTCTGCAGAAGTAACGCTTTCTTCTTCTCAGAATAATTCTGCCATTGCCGAGTTCTCTGCAGTGGAAAGTCAACTTCTGATGCCATTGGTGATCCTGCCAGTAACACACTTCCTGACAACACTCACTCACTGCATTGTATTTCATATAGGGAGAAGCATCCTAGGACAGGAAGTGTGCTTGGACTCCAAAAGAGAGAGAGCAGCCGTGCAGTGACCGGTCTTTATTACAGGAGGGGGCGGAGACAAGATCAGTCACCCTGCACAAGGACAGAGAGCAGCGGTGAGCGGTCTTTATTACAGGAGGGGGCGGAGACAAGACCAGTCACCCTGTACAAGGAAAAGAGCAGCAGTGAGCGGTCTTTATTATAGGAGGGGGCGGAGACAAGACCAGTCACCCTGCACAAGAAGAGAGAGCAGAAGTGACCGGTCATTATTACAGGAGGGGGCGGAGACAAGACCAGTCACCCTGCACAAGGAAAAGAGCAGCATTGAGCGGTCTTTATTACAGGAAGCTCCAAGTCTCACACTGGATTACTGCACAGATCTGGAAGAAATACACAAAGTTCACCATGACACAAGGAAGTATAGACAGGACTCTTGTATGTAGATGATATTTGCTGACAATTGCTTTACAATATCCCTGTGGCAGCTGGTCTGTTGCGTGCTGCAGCTGAACTACAAGTCCCAGCATGTTGGTGTGAGTGAGCGGATTGAGGAATTGTTAGTACCTGAGCTGTCTGCTTCCCTCTGAGTCATCCCGTATTTCTGGTGTTTTACATGCTCTGTAAATTGGACGCGTGTCTACTATGTCACCATGTTTACCTCATCACTCAGACTGTTCTCCTGGAGCAGGCTAATGCTAATGATACACTTCTATATCTACATGGTAACACACGGTATGAATATTGCTCTATAATGGTTTGTCCTCAGTTTTGTCCTCCTCTAGGTCATAAAACCATGAAGCTCCATTTCTGCATGGTGCCCCCTGTCCATGTGAGTTGCCCCTCTGTGCGGTCTCCAGACTGGAGGTCTCATGTGTCAGAATCCAAGACTGTAGAGTCCCTTCTCTTTAAGGTCCAGTCTAGCCTGGTCTCTTGGGTACAGCATCCTTCGTGTTGTGTGATTCCCATGGTTCTGAGGCTTCCCCATAGCCTGGTCCCTGGTCCACCCTTCCCTAATTCTGGCCCTCTGTAGAGTTTGCCTTGGGTACGGTCCTTTAGGTCCTGGTCACATGTCCTCTTGGTTCAGCTCTCCTGTCATTGAACACCCCTGATTGTGGTTGCCTACCTGTTAGTTTCCTTTGATCCACATCTCCTGACTCTGAGTTCCGCTCAATCCCAGTTACTTGTTTCTAAAGATGGATATACACTGTAATATTTTCTACGTTCAACCTAAAGGGCTGAATTTTGCACTGTGTATACCCTACTTGGGCCCCCCTTCACCCATCTAGCCATGGACTTGAGTTTCTCCTTGGTCAGCATTCCCTGTCCTATTGTCCCTCTCTTTCTTGGTTGTGTCTAATCCCCTCGGAATCATGGCCACATTTATGAGTCTCCTTGTTCCTGGTCACCTGTCCATCAAGTCATAGTCACCTGTCTCTGAGTTAGGTCAGTCCTGTTTACCTGTTCTGTAGACCCTTTGGTCATAGTCCCATGTCTCTGTCCTTCTCAAAGTCTTGTCCTCCTTTACAATCACCTTTTCCATATTTCCCCGGCACAATGTGCCCTTTGGGCTTGGCTATATGTCTTAGTCACCTCAGTCCTGGTGAGCTTTCTGAGCCCCCTTGGTTCTGGTCAGCTCTTCCCTGTTTTTCATTATTCCCATTTCCCATGGTCCCCTATTTCAGTGTGCCCTTTGACCCTGGTTGCATGCATGAGTCCCCTCAGTTCTGGTGACCTGTCCAGGTCCTCTCAGTTCTGGTCAGTTTTCAGAGTCCCATTGGTTCTAGTCAAATGTCCCCCCTTTTTCCCACTGTCTAGGATATCCCCCTAGTAGTTGTCACCTGTATCTGTGTCTCCTTAGTCATGGTCACGTCTCTAGTCTCTCTAAGTCGTGTTCTCCTCTTTTCAGATTCCACTGTTCCCTCAGCTATAGTGTTGTACTTTTTTGGTGACCATCTTTTGGTGTTCCGGTGGGCCACAACCCGTGGTCCCTTAGCTATTGAGCTGTACTTTTTAGTGGCCCTTGGCTAATCTTCCTGTCTCTGTTAGCCTGCATCTCTGGGTCCCCCAACTTTGTTGCTCCTTCTTCCCTGGTCTTATTTCTGCCAGAGTCTTTGTCTGAGTCACCTTTCAGAATCACATTAGTCCTAGTCAACTGTCCCCACTCTTTCCCTCTGCCAGGATGTTCCCTTAGTAGTGGTCACCTGTCTCGGTGTTTGCTTAATCATGGCCACCTTTTTCTGAGTCCCTCTAATCCTTCTCCTCCACTTTTCACATTCGCCTGGTTCACAGACCCTGGTTCCCCTGCTGTTGTCCTGTACATTTTAGTAGGCATCTTTTGGCGTTTCCCAGGTCCAGAACCCCTGTGGTCCCTCATCTATAGTTCTGTACTTTTTAGTGGCCCTCTTTTAGTGTTTCTCAGGCCACAACCCCTGTGGTCCCTCAGCTATAGTGCTGTACTCTTTAGTAGGCATCTTTTGGCGTTTCCCAGGTCCACAACCCCTGTGGTCCCTCATCTATAGTTCTGTACTTTTTAGTGGCCCTCTTTTAGTGTTTCTCAGGCCACAACCCCTGTGGTCCCTCAGCTATAGTGCTGTACTTTTTAGTGGTCCTCTTTTGGTGTTTCTCAGACCACAACCCCTGTGGACCCTCAGCTATAGTGCGGTACTTTTTAGTGGCCCTCTTTTGGTGTTTCTCAGGCCACAACCCTGTGGTCCCTCAGCTATAGTGCTTTACTTTTTAGCGGCCCTCTTTTGGTATTCCCCGGGCCACAACCCCTGGTTTCTTAGTTGTTGTCTTGCAACTTTTTGGAACCATCTTTTGGTGTTCTCCAGGTCCATGATCCTGGCTGCTCCCTTAGCTATTGAGCTGTACTTTTTAGTGGACCTCAGCTAATCCTTCTGTCCCTGTGAGCCTGCCTCTCTGGGTCCCCTACCTTTGTGGACCCTCACTCTCTGGTCTTCTTTCTGCCAGTCTTTGTCTCCTTTTTTCTGATTCCCTGTCCTCTCCTTCCCCTAACCCGTCAGTTATTGAGCACTGCTCTTAAATGCTGGCCTTCGTTCAGCATGGTTTGTGGAATTCCTATCTTCCAATGCCAGGGACATGCAGTTCCGGGCGTCAGGCGGGTAGTTGTTTTCCACATTTAGCCCGGCTTTGAGCAAGCAGAGCTAAATGTAGAGCGGGGAAGCCGCCGTTTGTTTTGTACTGGCCCTGCAAGCAATCCGTTATGTTTTTAAACAACTAAACTCAGATTTGTTTTATACAAAATATATTATTAAATCAAAAGCCCCGTTTCCCTTCTCTCCTAATCCCTCGGCCACAGAGCCCCCTTGATCATGGCTATGAGGCCCTGTCTCCGTTCTGCTCCGCAGCAGAGCTGGGTTGGGCTTGGCCTGGAATGCCTGTCAGCTGTTGTCATCGTCTATTATTCCCGTCGAAGCGTTTCAGTCTCTTTCCACTTGTCACGAGTGTCACACACGCCCGGCTTGGCTCTCTACAATATGGGTGAGTTACCGAGCAAGATAATTATAACTAGTAGTGGAATCTGCAGATTATCTGATGGTGATGGGTAGAGAGCAGCGGAGCAATTCACTGCTTACCACTGATTCCCAAAGTGATGGGAACTCAGGAAAATATCGCTGAATGTATCTGAGAATATTATTCTTAGAAAGCAGTTAATAGATCACAATTCATGGAGTATCACTCGTAGTATAATAAGGTTCACACTGCGTATCACAAATGATTATTCGTCCATGGAGCAATCATTCATACAAGGGACGGTACCATTAATATATTCCACAACACCTGCTGCTGTTCAAATTGTCCGGCGGTATTGTTCGCAGTTGATGGTGATGGATATTTTTTTTGGTAATACAATAGAACAATGACCATGATACAAAAATGAACCTGATCTGTAAAATGTTGCAAACATTCAATTTGCACAGTTATCCCTTTTATGAGCCGATGAACAAAGGCAGATCAGCAGTTTTATATGGTTGGTTGTAGTTTAACCCTTTCCACTACTTCTTCAGTCTCTTCAAGCCCTAGTTTGAATGGTTTTCTTTATTTTTTTATTTAATCTCTGCCTTTGTATATCTATCTATCTATCTATCTGTCTGTCTGTCTGTCTGTCTGTCTGTCTGTCTGTCTATCTATCTATCTATCTATCTATCTGTCTGTCTATCTATCTATCTATCTATCTATCTATCTATCTATCTGTCTGTCTGTCTGTCTGTCTGTCTGTCTGTCTGTCTGTCTGTCTGTCTGTCTGCCTGTCTGTCTATAGAGTCATGTGCACAGACGTGAAACTGTGCAAAAAAAGTTCAACCTTGTACAAGGATCCTTCACTTCATGTAAGCTGCGGTTAAATTTGGTTTTGGATATTTTGTTATTTCGGGATTCGGATCCGAAATTCAATTCAGTTCGGCTTTTGGATTCGGACGAAATCCGAATTTTCATTAGTTTCGGATGAGTTTGCGAATATTCGTTGCGAATACCACAGAACACCATATACAGATATTAATACTAAAGCTGAGACTCCCTGGGAGCCATATACTGTACATATAATACTAAAGCTGTGGCCCCCCGACCCAAATGGCATTCGGAAGCTCCCCAATGCAATTCGGAAATTCGGATCCCGAATGCCATTCGGGTCTGGGAGTGTCAGCTTTAGTATTATATGTATACAGTGTATATGGCTTCCATGTTTCCGTAACAAAAAATTAGTGTTCAGACCCATTCGGATGCATTAAACCAAAAAACACATCTGATTGGCTAGAAAAGTCACATGTCCGATTCAGTTTAGTTTTTGAAGGAAATTCGGACGGGATCCGGAATTCAGAAACAGAAATTCGGATTCGGACACATTCGGATGCATTGGGATTCGGAAATTCTCGTAAACAGCCGTCGCTATGTTATTTGTTGCCGTTTTTGGTTATTGTTAATTGAAACAGTTAATTATTTTGTGATTAAATAAAGGTCCGCTGGGGCTGTTTAAACCCATGGTGCGCGGTCCATACTGCATACTGGGAATTTCAACAAGGGGGCAGAAATTAACGAATCCATCAGTTGTCTTTTTATAAACTTCTGGAGCTGGCCTCCTAGCTGGGATGGAGTTTGCCTCTTAAGGACGCGTTTGCATGGTTTTAAAGGCTCAGCAATCCCATGTGTTTACCAAAATGTGCGCTTCTCTTTGCCCAGCAGAACATCGAAATTAACACGGCTTGCAGCAACTACAATTAGGTGGCATCTGACACTACAAGCCAAAGCATACCTCCCAAGAGGTATATTGTACCATTATACCCCCTGCACTGTATATACTATGTTTTACATTATACTCCTAACCCCTTCTCCTTGATGATCTCCCTCCGACGTCTGAATGCGGAAGTGATGTGTATTACATTACTTCCGCATTCAGCTGTCAGTCCCCTGGCTGCTGTAGCCAGGAGAAGCAACTGGGGAAGCAGATCTCTTCTCCAGCTTCTCAGCATCTTTGGGGGTCCCCAGGTGACATTAGGGGTCTTAGAGACCCCTAATGTCTCCATAAAGAGGACCTGTCAGTGTGCCTGTGCCACATGCCACAGTGTGCCTGTGCCACATAGGGGGCTAACATAGGGGATTGTTAGCCCCCTATGTGATAGCAATAACATTAAGTGTAAAAAAAAAAAAGTAAAAAAAATAGCAGTCACATATAAAAAATAAAAAAAAAAAACCCAAAATCTTTTGAGTCCCCCAACCCCAAGTTTACGCACAAACGTAAATAAGCGTCAGGTACACCAGCGCGCGAAAACGACAATTGCGCTACACATGTAACATATCGCCACGAACATCGCAGTGGTCAGTCAAAGCACCGCAGCGCTGAACACTGAAAAATGGCCGGGACATGAAGGGGGTTTAACGCCACAGTCAGCAAGGGGTTAAATTGATGTAGCTGTTGAGTTTTTCCAGATGAAAGTCAGTGATTGATTCTGTTCATTTTTTTTTTTACCTTGCAGGTGTCCTCACATGTGATATGAACAAATTCTTCTTCAAACATTTGCTTGTTGACCACATCCAATGTCCTGAGTGGTGATCACCGTCGTAATGGATAGCCCACCCAAACTAGCTGGAGAAACTCTGATTGTCCACCACATCCCACTGGTGCACTGCCAGATACCTGATCGCCAGTGCCGTCCAACCTCCAAAAGGACCCACTCCTACAGCAAGAATGACCTGGGGATTACCCGAACCACCTCCCTTCCAGAAAGGGACCTTTCTCAGGCCGACTCTCTGGTGTACAGTAGTTTAATCCAAGTTTCTGACTCAACAGTGAAAAAAAAGGTGAGCAAGAAGGACAAGGAATGGCCGGGAAACATAACTCGGAAGCGCCACAACCCGTTCCTCCTAAACGATGAGGAGGAACGTATCACAGCTAGCAGCTGTGATGTGGAAAAGTCGTTCCATCTCCACAACAATATAGGTGGGCTGAAATCAGGATTTCAGTTCCAAGATCTGTCCTTGCCACCTTTCCACCTTCATGATACCCCACCCGTGGTGAAGCCTTGGATATTGTCAGGCAGGTCAGGACTTGTTGATGGACAAGAAGAGAAGACATCACCTGATTACTTACAAAAAGGCAGTAATGGCAACCAAGGTGTATCGGGCATAATCATGGAAGACCAGGCTTGGCCTAATCATGGCGAGCCGACCTTTACTCTAGATTGGAATCAGAGCTCTGATTTGGGGAGCCAAGATTTTCAGAGAGAGTGCACATGCACTGGTTCAGAGCCTCTTAGACACTGCCGATGCTATAGCGCCTCAAGCCAGTCTGAAATGGACCAGCAGGTGAGCTATGTCAGCGACTCATCCTGCAACAGTTCAGATGGAATCCTGGTCAACTTCAGCACTTTATATAACAAGATGAATGGACATCCCAGGTCCAACATGAATTCTGGTAGTCTCTCATGTGACTCCTCATTTTGTAGCCACCCGGACACAGGTGCTTTTTATCTTGACCTGCAGAACTCACCTACGGAATCCAAAACGTCTTGCGACTCGCATGTTCAAGAATCTTCTGGAAAGCCATGCGGGTGTACCAACTACTCCTCTTCTCCTGTTTTGGATGCCAACTGTAACTCTTACCATCTCAATTGCGATTCAGCTCAGTGTAATGGAGAGAGCTCAGATCTAACCTCTTGTTTGCAAAGCCAGGCCAGACTTGTGGTGGCCACTCAGAATTATTATAAGCTGGTCACTTGTGATCTGTCATCTCAGTCTTCTCCTAGTCCTCCTGGTTCTTCTATTACCAGTTGCTCAGATGACCACACCAAAGGGAGTCCAGTTCAGGCAACTGAGTATTTTCTCTTTCAACAGCCAGATAGTAGTTCAGACTCAAGTGATTCTAAACCTGTTATAGAAACATCAAAGTCCGACATCATTGAGGGCCAAGTTTATGTTAACGTGTCCCCGCCAAACTTTAATACAGGCAGGCAAAGATCCAGAAGTTATGATCGCAGCTTGGACAAGAGCTCTTCAAACCAACTGGGATCCCTGGAGCGTATGATGAGTTGTCCTGTAAAGCTAAGTGAGGGCCAAGCTTTGCTTTCCCAAGAATCATCTCCAAAGAGAGTGACATCATTTATGGAATTAGCCAAGAGCAGGAAGAAAAATGGTACCAGCCCTCCTTTAAGGTCCAGTGGAGACTCTTCCCTGGAGTTCTCCCCTGTCGCCGAATACCATCGAGACGGTACCAGAGGTTCAGAACGTGCAGAGTTTCGTAGCCACAGCCTTCCACCTATGTCCTTCTTGCATTGTATGAGTCGCACTTGTGAAGGCTGTGCCAGTGATACCCTGGAAGCTAAACCCACAAGTTCTAACCCAACAGCTAATGCTAACCAAGCCAGTGCCAACAATGGTGGAGGTAGTGATCACATCTTGACATGCAGTGGTCTGGATTCAGGAGGGGCTGGGATCAACTTCCTTCAAAGAGATTTAAGAGCAAAAGGAGACGGTGAGTAGTTCAATGATGCATGGTTTTATTTTCATTCCTGTTATGATACAAGCAAACAACCTGGATGTTGCAGTAGATACATACCTATCCACCACTCAGAATTGCTGCATCTAAATGACCTTTGTCAAGTGACAAATGACTCTGATTAGTATGGTGACCAGATTTTTCAAATACAAAAGGACCTAAACTGTGGAAGCTGTGCTGAGCATGGAGATCTTGCACTGCAGGTCCTCAGTAGGGATGAGCTCAGGTTCAAACCAAGCTGCATGTAAATAGGACAGGCTGCTTGTGCTGACATAATTTACCTTATATGACCACGTAGCCATACTGTAAGGTCAATGATGTCCCTGCATACTGCTCCTTTGCTTACGTCAGCTGATCGGATGGGGCTTCCTTCCATGTTCAGGAGGAGCTCCTTCTGGGTTCGGAGGAGTCCAGGTTTGGACCGGGTTCTTCCCATAGGAAGAAATGGTGAAATGCAAATCCAGCATATGATGTATAAGAATGTGCATGTCAACAAACTTACCTGCTGTTGTTCTTCCAGCTGGGTGGTGTTGAGTTGTTATCTAAAGTGAGGTCAGGCTCCGTATCCTGCTGTCATTTCTCCCCATGCTCTGCCATTTTCTGAGGTACTTCCCAGGTTTCAGGGTTCTTTGGCTTCTCCTGAAGCATCCGCCCCAGATTCTCCTTCACTCCCCACACGTGCACCAGCATTCCCTTTATGCCCTCATGTATACTACCCACAGGCAGGGGCATGGCCAAGCTTGGGCAATTGCCATCTGGTATATGCACCTCCTGATTGGTCCACCTCACTTTTAAGGGAAATTTGTGCCAAGAGCCAAGTGACAGCGTCTCTTGAGAGAGCGCTCCCCAACCCACTTATGTTCACCCTTGCCATGATGCTCGCCCCAATTTGTTACTCAATTGCAGACGGGAGTCAAACTTTATGTGAACTCTGGATAATGTTGGCTTGAGCAGAGTTGATTACATAAAAATGACAGTGATTGGGCCTGGTGATTGGCCACTCAGTGCTCAGACACCACATCATGGGAGGGGGTCCCACGCATCCCCACAACTAGAAGCAGTGACATAACTGGGCCTGGTGATTGGCCACTCAGACACTACATCATGGGAGGGGGTCCCATGCATCCCCACAACTAGAAGCATCGGGTATTTTAATAAGGCTCCGATGGAAGAATAGGGCTGTGGGGAAGCATGTTAAAGCTGAATATAAGTTGGGAGGTGACACCACTGCATTCTTTAACTCTATCAGAAAAAGCGGTGTCACCCTTCTGGCTGTGCTGAATCCTTTGGCAGATAACACACTTCACATCAATGCATAAAATAAGTAACACATTGTCAATAAAAATGAATGTACAGTAAATGCACCACAGTATGCATGCACTGCACATTGGTTTATTACCTGTTAACATGTTCCCAAAAGCGCGCAGCCAGTTATGAATGCAGTCTTAGTGGTTAATCATTCTTCTGTAGCTCACCAACTTATGCAATACAAACCTGACTCCACCTGTGCAATACAAAACCTGATGTAAGTGAGGCTAGAGTCCTGGTGCTCAACCTGCTGCCCAGGAGCCTCATGCGACCTTTGGCACTTTTTGAGTGGCCCCCAGAGCCCCTGCAGACAGTATTGGGGTGATTTAATAACTGTTTACACAGCTAACAGCTATGCAAATAATATTGCAGCACATTATGGCCACCAGATGGAGTCAAGAAGCATAAGAATTTATTTTGTTCCCCCGGGCCCATCTAATAGCCATAATGCAGTGCAAATCTCCTTTGCATTGCTGTTTGCTGTGCGAATAGTTTATAAATCACCTCCTATATGTATAAAAGAAGG